CAGCCCAACCGCAGCGCCTCTCAGAACCCAGACCAGAGCACACACCTGTGACAAGCACATGCTGCACTCACAGCTGCCAGCGCTCAAGCGCTGCTCCAACTGTGGGACCTCTCTCGGCCCCAGCGTCGTTTGTAAATGGAGAATTTCATAGACCCAGGATCGCAGGTCTGTCGTGAGGACTGCTTGAGTTGACTCATTGGCCGGCCTTTAGGATGGTGTCTGGCACGTAGGATGTGCTCTGCCACCTTGTGTCTTCACGACTTCTCGAGATCTGCCTTTTTCTCACCTGAAAGCCCCGCCAATTTCCAAGAAGTCTCAGTCCTACAGAAATCTCTTCCAAGTACTAGCAGTAGAGACCCTGTTTTTCATGGCAGCTGGACAGAGGCCTGGCGGTAAAACCAACACCCTGTAGGGCTGACCCACACAGGAGGGTTCCCAGTTTGCATCCTGAGACCTCCCTATACGTTGTGTGCACACCCTTGACCCTGTGCTGGCAGAAGCTAGGGTTGGATTGCTGTATCGGGGTGCTTTTAGGGGGTGCTGTGTCTCTATCTGTCTCACTTATGGAAGAAATAAATAAAACTAATTGTTTTTTAAAAAGAGGTTTTTGTCTTGCTGATAGGGGAGAGACTGAAATAGTGAGAGGGAAAGTGAGAAAGTGAGAAATCATCCCCTCCCCCAGGGAGCAGGGGGTGGACACACCACAATCCCTTTTTCTCCATTCTCCGCCCGAAATCTTGGCCATGCACACACACGTGCCTGACTTGATTTTCAAGCCACCGGGTCCAAGACTCAAACCATGCTCAGCCATGTGGGAGTCCAACTACATAACCACTACACCATCTGCTGGCCCCAATAAATAATACTTTGGAAAGAGAGAGAGAGAAGATGGTGTAATGATTGCTGGACTCCCATGTAGCTGACCGCAGTTCAAGTCCTAGACCTGGCAGCTTAAAACTCACGCCGGGCAAATGTGTGTGTGTGTGCCTGAAATCCCGAAAGGAGAATGGAAGAGAACGGATTGCGATACGGCCATACTCCTGGGGGATGATTTCTCACTTTCTGTCACTTTCTCTCTGTGGCGAGTGTATGCGCCTTGTAACAGAAATCTTAAAAAATAAATAAATAGATTTAAAAAAGAGGAAGGAAAGAAAGAAAATAAAAGAAAGGAGGGATGAAAAAAAGAGAAAGGAGGGAGGAGAAAAGAGAGAGAGAAAGACAGAAAGAGAACTTGTTTTCCCTAGAGACCGCTCCCCTGCTGTTCTTCCCAATTTTGTAGCCTCCTGCTGATAACAGCACTGGGCCCATGATGAGAGCTGAAAAGGTTTCCCCGCTGGTGAGACCGCATAATTCAAACCAACCTACCTCCCACTCCCAGCTCCTGACTTCTGAGGCTAACTCGGTGGGTGGGAGGTAAATGCCAGAAGACTCCAGGTGTCCAGTGGCCTCCTGTGCCTTGGTTCACCAGCCGCTGCGTGCCTGGGCCACCTCATGAGTTAAGGCCTCCTTGCAAAGTCAGAGTGTGGAGGCTCCCCAATCCACTTGAATGAGAAAGCTTGAAACACTGGGAAAGCCATAGGCGTAAGCTAATTAATAGCTCTTCTCACACTGGAGCTTTGGAGGGTAGCTCGGACACGGAAAAGGAATCCTCTTTTGAGAATGCTACAAGTCATCACCAAGACTAGGAGGAGGAACCTGGGAGGAAAATAACTGAACCGAAGTCGCCGTCATTTCCGAAGACAGGTGACCTGGTTAGAGGAAAAGAAGAAATGTTCTCTTGCACATAAGGCCCATGGAGGCATCGTTGAACTTTTGGTCCGATGGTTCTCAAACTTAGTGGTTTTCATATCTAGTTCAAGGAGAAATGAGTCATTAGATACTAAGAAGCAGGCAGACTTCTGTCTCGACAAAGAATCCCACCCACTGAAGTGGAATTATCTCTGGAATGATGGAAGTGGTCGCTGAAGTAAAAAAATGTTGTGTGAACTGGAATTGCTTGGTCTGAACGAGTGCCTTTGTCATCCCCAAACACATTGTGATGGCTCTGGTCAGGGCAGGGGAAGTTTAAATATATAATATGATCCAACTCAAATTGTCATCAAGGTCATTCCTGAGCCAGAGGACAGAGTCGCTAAGGAGAGGATGCTGGTAGTGTCAGCCCAGCGGCAGTTTTGTGACATGAGTGGTGCTTTGTTCCCTAGAACTCCACCCGCCATGAAAGCATGCCAGAGGATTCTTACCCCAGAATGTCCCCCGCCTGTTTGTTCGTTGTTGGCAATGTTTCCAGAGTGTAGATATTTTAATTCCGAAAGAGCGCAATGAGTAGTGCTGCTATCACCTGCCAGCGTATGTGAACACACGGCCAGGATTTTCAGACACGTTCATTTCCAGGAGGCGCTGTGATCACCTAACGTGATCTGCACTGCTCTCTCTCTAGTGTGAAACTTGGTGTTCCATGGCATGCCCAGGTTGGCCCTTGTCGCAGGAACGTTACACCGTCACGACGTGCCACACGCTGTAACAAATCGGTCTACACTCACTGGCAGAGATGAACAAGGGAGTCTGACTATCCAAGGGGCTCCTGTCCCTGAAGACAGAGACCTCATTTCTCTGTCTATACTCACCGTAGCCATCTTTTATATTAAACAATCCACATTTCTAAACAGTTCACACTCAACGTTCCTCTAAATACTTAGGAAACATTCAAATAAGGCAGATTTAACAAAGGGAAATATCCTAATATTTAAACATGGTCTTTTAAAGATAAACATTGCTAGTCATTTATTTGAAATGGTTTTTCTTTAAAAAAAAAAAAAAGGGGGGGGTGCTCTGGGGCCAGCAGGTGGCATGGTCGTTAAAGGACACTGGACTCCCATATGGCTAGGCTAGGATTCAAGTCCTGGACATGGTAGCTTGCTTTCTCGCTTTCTTGCTTTCTCTCTCTTTCTCCCACCCTTCTCTGATCAAATTAAAATAAATAAAGTTAAATGAAAGTAATTCTTAAAAAAAAAATAGAAAAAATGTGATTAAAAAATTCTAAAATAAAAACTAGGGGGCTCAGCAGGTGACATGGTGATTAAGGCTGTGGACTCCTACATGACTAACCGCCATTCAAGTCCCAGACCCAGTGACTTGAAAATCATACTGAGTGTGTGTGCATGCGTACCCAAAATCCCAAGAGGAGAATGGAGGAGAAAGGATTGTGGCATGGCCATCACCCCAGGAATAATTTCTCACTTTCCTTCTCTATGTCTGGTGAGTATATGCACCCTGTGACAAAACAAAACTTTAAAAAAAATCATAAATGTCTGGAACGTTTTAAAAAAAATTAGGTTGTCCAAAAATCCATGAAGTATTATTTTCATGTTTTTCTATGCAAAAATGTGATTTTTTCAATGACTCAATAGATAAAACACACGTAAATGACCGTATACTTACAATAAAACAGGCGTATGAATGTCTGAATACCATGATTTAAAGTTGTTTTCTTACCACCTTAATTCTTAGCCTTCTTTAAATTTTTTGTTTTATTTTTATTTATGCATTTACTTAATCCACGAGTTGCATTCCTGAGGTTTAAGTCACTTTACAGAAAAACACCGCAGAACACCTGAGATCATCAGTTTTGATTATTCTATGTGTTCCTTGGTTGGGATGTAGGATCCAGTTCTCAGCCCACATTAATTCTAAAGATATAGCCCAGTCAATATCCATAACTAAATTCTTATCATTATGTCCAAGAATTCTTAAAATCCCTATCTTTTATATAGATTTTTATTTCTGGAGCTTGGTATCTGTCTCAGAAATGATAAATTTTAGGTTTTGTGTGTCTGCTGGTCCCTGACCCATTCTTTTTTGATTTATTGAGCTTGTCTGTTAACATTATTAAAAACGTATGTATCCCCTATTATTATTTTATTCTAATTAGTTGGGCCATTTAGAGGTTTCATCTCCCAGGAGAAGAGACTGAGCCTGGGTAATTAGCCTCTTCTGTAGGACAGCTGGCTAATTCCTCACCTCGGGACGCTGTGAGACCGCCCGCCCACCTGTTTATTCTGCATGACCCTCAGTGCTGACGGCTTGTTCCCAGACTGGTGTACAGCCGCTTCACCTGGACTCGGCTTTATCTTTTCTTTCTTTCTTTCTTTTTAATGAATTGTTTATTTTATTTTATTCATTATTATTTTTAATATACTATAAGATATATGCGCACACCAGAGAGAAACAGGGAAAATGAGAACAAGCCTCCCTATCCAGGACTTGAACCATGGTCAGCCATGTGAGAGTCCAGAGCCCCAACCACCACACTCCCTGCTGGCCTGTTTATCTTTTCTACTTATACAGGTGGAAACAAGCAGAAAGTTCTCTGTCCGATAGTCCACCCTGTTACAATTTTGATTTTATCAGAGTAGAGTTTCCTGACGTCTTCATTGGCACGTCGTCTGTGTGATTGTAGCCTTACGTGCATACTGCCCGAACCCCTAAATAGCTGTCAGTCCACTCGTTTTAACCTGGCATTGGCTTGAGCCACAGCAGCCATGACACCACACATTTGACACAGCAGCAGTGTTTCAGCTGTTCTGTAATGACCTGTTCAAATAGTGGCATCAATGGCGAGATGATGGGGTTGTCCTGATACTCCAGAGCCTTCTTGCTCCTTGCCAGGGTTCGTCATTGCACTTGACAGAAGACCACATGCCAAGGATTCTTTTTTCTCCATCTGTCTTTCTGTGTCTCTCTCTGGCAAGCGCATGTGCCCTCTGGCAAAAAAAAAAAAAAAAGACACGATATTATCTTTCCTGTTTTAGTAGAAAATAGTTTAATTGAAAAGTGCCAGCATATGTTTTGAAGCCATAGTTTTCACGAGATACAGTTTTTATCCCAAGCAACCAGGTGTCCTCATGTTTACAGAGCTGGGCAGAGGAAATCAGGAGGGGTCATCTGGAGGAGGGGCTTCTAAGATGCATGACCTTGACCCTCTGCTGTCTCTCTCCCGGCAGTGATCCCAAAGGTCACCAAGCACCTGCTCTCCAACCCCGTGTTCACCTGCATCATCCTGGCCGCCTGCATGGAGATTGCAGTGGTGGCTGGCTTCGCTGCCTTCTTGGGGAAGTACCTGGAGCAGCAGTTTAACCTCACCACCTCTTCTGCCAACCAGCTGCTTGGTGAGTGTGGCCTGTGTGCTCTTGAGGGCAGAGGGAGTCCGTGGTGCGTGTAATGCTCTAAGAACTTACCGAGACCTTCAAGGAGCACAGAGCCGGCCTGGGCCTGCAGTGGCTGGAGGCCTTTTCCTGGCATGTATCCATTAGGAACAAGTGTTTAGATCCCCTTGTTATATTTATATATTCATATATGAGAGGGCATCAAAAAGTTTCTGGAAAAATGGAATTAAAATATAAGTTATTATGGTGCGAAAAATTTTTGAATTCCATGCACTTATTTTGTAATGCACATTTTCCATGAACTGTTGGACAACCTCTTATATAACTCTGTTTAGAGTAGATTTATGCATAAATCCTCCCCAAACTGGAAACAACCCAAAAGTTCATCAGCAATAGAACGGGCAAATAAATGATGGCGTGTTCACATGGTGGACCACTGCACAGCATGGGGAAGGAAGGGCTTGGATACATGCCTCCATGTGGCTGAACCTCACAGAGCGGAAAGGCATCAGAGAAAGAGAGCATATATATATGAATGAAGAAGGGGAATAGTTAACTAAGATGACAGGAGCCTGAGCAACGGTTACCCTTGGGGGAAACTAACTGGGAAGGAGCCCCAGAGAGCCTCTTGGGCTGCTAGAAATGTTCTAAGCTTGATCTGAGCTGTGGTGGGGCACAGTATAAAAGAACATCAGACTGTTTTTCAGCTTTGTGCACTTTACAGGCCATAACATGACTCAGTTTAAAAAAAGGTAAGGGGGGACCAGCAGTTAGCGTAATGGCTATGTCGCTGGACTCCCACGTAGTCGACCGCAGTTTGAGTCCTAGACCCGGTGGCTTAAACTCACGTCGGGCGCGTGTGCGTGCGTGCCCGAGATCGCAAGAGAAGAATGGAGGAGAAGGGATTGCGGCGTGGCCATCCCCTCTGGGGGGTGATTTCTCGCTTTCTATCTCTCTGTCTCTCTCTGTCTGTCTGGCGAGCGCACGCGCCCTATAGCAAAAACCTCTCCAAAAAAAAAGGTAAGGGGACCAGCAGATGGTGTAATGGTTACGTCCCACATAGTCAGCTGCGGTTCAAGTCCTGGACCCAGCTGCTTACAACTCATGCCAGGTGCATGTGCATGTGTGCCCAAGATCCTAAGAGGAGAATGGAGGAGAAGGGATTGCAGCATGGCCATACACCCTGGGGGTGGTGATTTCTCGCTTTCTGTCTCTGGTGAGCGCACGTGCCCTATAGTCAAAAAAAAAACCCTACATAATGATGTGGCTTTATCTTAGCCTTTCCTGAGAACCGCTTAGGGTAGCACAGTTGTTTACATACACACGCATATATATATGTATGTGTATATATGTGTATATATACATGTTTATGTATGTATTTATGTACACATATATACACACATATAAAATATACTTTACATATTATATACTATATATTTAAATATATTCATATAAACCTATGTTTAATATATAAAAAGTTCCTCATTTATATATTATATGTATTAAACATAATTTATAAATGTATAATGCACTTTATTCTATATATATTTATTTGATATGTGTATATTTTATGTACCTATTTTTCCCTAATAACTTTTTACTACACACCATTTTGTGAGTTTTACTTCCAAGAGTGAGGAGCAGCATGCCGTCTTCCCTTTAATACCTGCCTGATGGGGATGGGGTAAAACATGCCTGTTTATAATGAAAACGATCACCTATCTGTTATCACTGAGATCTCTCAGTCTTAGCCTTCCAGCACCCGAAGCATTTCCCTTTCACTTCTGATTTCTCTGCTGTGATTCTTGCCACTGGGACATGTGCAGTTACTTGACTTTGGGCTGTGTTCTATTTCAGAACAGATGCCTAAGTTTTCTATCGACAAACAAATCAATAGTCAGTCTTCGAGGGAAAAGGTCAGAAAAACAATTTTGCTTTCCTGCGCCTGTTTGTCTCACAGCGATTTCTGTCTATTAGCACGCCTGGCAGGGGTGACCTTCTCCCACACGGGCAGTCCGGGCGGGCACGTGTGTTCTCTCCCTGTTCCCTGCCCATGGCATCGCTCCAGTTAGCGCGGACCCTGAAAGGCTGGCTGCAGGAGGGACTGGCAGTGGGCCATTAGGGGAAGCACGTTTGCAGGAAGCTCCCGCAGACCTGGGAGGCGGGGCGTACAGTCATCTCAGGCACTGAGGCAGGACGGAGTTCAGTGAGAGCAGCACAGATGATTAGGGGGCTGATGGCTTTGATTTCTGAGTGAGAATAAAAGGGCTTAATCTGCATAGGTTAAGGTAATGAGGATGGAGTTGCTGGGGAGTTCTGATAATGCCCGCCCCGCTCGGAGTGCTAAGGATGGCACATATTTCAGCGAGGGAGAGGGGAGCCCGATGATGGCTTGAAGAAAAGATGCAGAAAGCCTTTGTTGCCATGGTGACCATCATCACCAGGTGACACCCCTACTGTCTCTGCTAGGAAATGAAACAAAACCTAGCCTGCTCTCTGGGCATAGACATGTTGCTACCAGCATTCATTCAAACAGACCTGGTCAGTGCACCGAATCATTCAATACGAAATGAACTCTCACACCGACTCTGTGCCAGGCACTGTGCTAGGCCCAGGGAGTCCAGCTGGACTGAACAACAGGAAAAAAGTTCTTGTCCTTCAAGAAGCTGCATCCTTATTGTAGGAGAAACAACAGGAAAACTAAAGGTCAATGAAGAAGCCTCAGATAGCAGAGAGAGTCATGAAAGCAATCAAACAGAAACTGTGGACAGTCCCAGGTTGGGGGACAAGGACCACTGGAGACTGGGTATCCTGAGAAAGTCTCTCTGAAGATAGTAGGGTCCAGCCAGGTAAACTCACAGGGCGAGGGTGTCCCTGGAGAGGAGACCGCAAGTTCAAAGACTGGGAGTCCTGGCCTTATTGGTATTTTTCAGGGAAGATGGGAGGGAAAGTAGGTGTGGCTGGGGGGTGGGTAGTGAGCATGGGATGAGGACAGAGAGGGGCACAGGAGCTGCCTCATGAAGACCTTTTATATGGCAAGGGAAAGTAAGCGAGCACAGACATTCCAAGACATTCCAGAGATAGAACAGGTTTGTTTTCCGTGTGACTTATGCTGTGTTCTTACAGAGCTGGGCCTCCCTGATTACACTTTCTTGCCCTAATATTCGCATTAATTTGCATTCTCTTAGCACATATCAGCTGCTTGATGTAGTCAACTGACCCGGGGTCTGCTGATTGGCAAGGAGGAGACGGGCTAGCCTGCAGAACTGGCCATGCGGAATCTGCATGGTAGATAAATGACACGCAGTAATTGAAAGCAGAATCTGAGGTGAAATGAATCCAAATGGAGCAAAACCAAACACAGCTTTGGAACCCTAGGATCCCGGAGGCCCCCTCAAATGCCATGGGTGCCTGAGAATCAGAAATCACAGGTTATGACCCTGCTGCCTTGCAGACAGCACTGTATGTGAGAGAGACGGGAACATGCACGCCAGTTATTCCCCCAGAGCTGCAGAACATGTTGACTGGATTGATACTGCTTCCTGAGCGGTGACAGAGCTGGTTAAAACACCGTCTCCCTGATGGGACCAGCAGATGGCGTAGTAGTTACGTTACTGGACTCCCATGTAGTCGACAATAGTTTGAATCCTGGACCCGGCAGCTTAAAAGTCACGCTGGGTACATGTGCATGCGTGCCCAAAATCCCAAGAGGAGAACAGAGGAGAAGGGAATGTGGCATGGCTATCCTCCTTGGCAATTGATTTCTCACTTTCTGTCTTTCTGTCTCCCTGGCAAGCGCATGTGTCCTTTAGCAAAAATCTCTCTCTTAAAAACCAAACCAAACCAAAACAAAACCAAAACAGTGTCTCCACAGATGGTGATTCCATGGCCTTTATGTTCAACGGCCTCCAGGCCTCCCGTGAAACCTTCTCTCCTTGCCTAATTAGAAGAGTGGGAGGAAATCCCTAAGTGATGTTGAGTCCCCTTTCCATGTCACCCTAAAAACAAGCACATCCCTGTCTATGGTATTTATTACTTTTTTCAAATTTTATAAAAATTCAAGAGAAGTTTTGCCTATAGGGCTCATGCACTCACCAGAAAGAGAGAGACAGACAGACAGAGACATAAAGCGAGAAACCACCCTCGGAGGGTGCACTCACCAGAAAGAGACAGACAGACAGACATAAACCGAGAAACCACCCTTGGAGAGTGGATGGCCATGCCGTAATCCCTTTTTCTCCATTCTCCTCTCGGGATCTTGGGCACGCACGTACACGCGCCCGGCGTGAGTTTTAAGCCACCAGGTCCGGGACACAAACCGCGGTCGACTACGTGGGAGTCCAGCAACATAGCCATTATGCCAACTGCTGGTCCCAGTATTTATTACTTTCCTAAGATGGGTGTCTGTGTTCTGATCTGTCAACTTTGTCGCTTGGCTGTCCTCACTTCAGCCTACGTGAGTTCCCCCAAAGGCGTCCCCTGTAGCGTGACAGGCACACATGCTTAGAGTCATGATTGTGTTTTTTCACGTCTATCTCCCCCAGTCTTCTGTGAGCTCCCAAATGTAGAAATCAGACCCTTCAGACCCTTCATGGAGATTTTGGAGTTCCACTGAGACAGCTGCCTGCCCGGGGATTGCAGGGGGTCCTTTGGGCTTAGCCTTGGACTTGCTGCTCATTTGTATGTGTGACCATCCCTTCCTTTCTCATTCACGGTCCCCCTTCTGCTCACCTTCCAGGCATGACCGCGATCCCGTGTGCCTGTCTGGGAATCTTCCTGGGCGGCCTCCTAGTGAAGAAGCTCAGCCTGTCTGCCCTGGGGGCCATCCGGATGGCCATGCTCGTCAACCTGGTGTCCACGGCCTGCTACGTGTCCTTCCTCTTCCTGGGCTGCGACACGGGCCCTGTGGCTGGAGTTACTGTTCCCTATGGAAACAAGTGAGTACCCGGAGTGTCTGCTTCTGCCCCCCCCAGCCCAGGCACACCAGCGTTTTCGGTCCCCAGGGGAGGTTAGTGGAGCCAGCTTTGTCCCTGGTGACCCTGAGCAGCAGAGAACAGGACGCCTCTGCCTCCTGCTCCCTGGGTGGAAGAATTAGCGTGACCATCCGGACTGTGAGGACAGGCCAGGAGGGCCCTGTGGGAGGAAAGCGGGCTGCTCTCCCCAGGGTACCCGTGCTGCTCTTTGGACAGCTGACTGTAGGAGTGATGTGAAGGTGGGAAATAAAGATAAATCTTACTCAAAATTCACCTTGAAGTTAAAGACAGAATTGAATTCAGCAATTCCTTAAACTAGCAGAAGCTATTATGAGGCTCACATAATAATTACACGATCTCACCCATGGTAGGTATTTTCAAGTGTGGAAGGAGGGAGGTGGGGAAGGATGTTAGCTAGTTCTTAGGGGGTCACTTATTTCCTCGTTATTATCTTAAGACTTTGGGCCAGAGTCCAACCGTATTGCCCTCCGGGAATTGCAGGGAGTCCTTTTTTTTCCAGTATCAACAACTGTCCCTTTTTTAAATGGGGCTCTGAGGTTGCCTTGGGAATCCAGCCTGAAGCATTGAGGCTGCAGCATGACTGGCCATAGGAGTAGTTCCTTTCTCCAGTGCCAGACTCTTCCTCTAGGCAGGCCACCAGGGCTGCTCCCACACTTAAGTCAGACAGGGCAGTAGAGCCAGGGCTTATCTGCCACCCTGTTAGGGTGAGTCGGTAGAAGAAGAGAACAGAGTAGAGGTGACTGTTCGTATGTCCATGCTCAATCCAGGCACCCGTGTCCCTCCTTCCCCTTTACGTTAACCACAAGGAAACTTCATCCAATTTCATCCAATATCCTCCACATCCTCCCCCCACTCCCTCCCTGACCAGGGCTGGTGCCCTCTGCTTTGCCCTTGCTATAAATAACCGCCCCTAATATGGATCATTCTGCTCTGCACTCGAGCAGTAGATTGCAATGGTTAGAAGCATGGGACTTAGGATAAAGGTGTTATGCTTCCATAAAAAAGAAAAATGGGAGCCTATGGTCAAACTGGCCCCGTTCTGTTCTCATTTATACCATTTCTGATTTACGGCTGTGCCTCAGTTTTTCTATAAAGCCCGTGGGGGTTTCACTGAGAATAAATGAAATGAGGCACACGGTACCTTGAGCTGTGCATGGCACGTAAATTGTCAGGTGTCACCATCATCTTCCTTATGCTTGTGCCATGCTCTGAACCTTAAGAGGCATACTGAAAATGATGGAACTTAAAGGAGTGATACCTCCTCTTCTGAGACTAAAGACACCCACACCCTCCTCCTCTCCTTAGATTGCCTGCTCTAGGTAACCGTACCCTTAATGGTGCACATCCTCGTGCTGTTTTGTTGGGACATTGACTCAGTCAGACAGTGATTACTGAAGCCAGTCTGGTTGGAGCAGTGTAATGAGCATCGCAAGGCTTCTTACCTCCTGGACAGGGATAGGACAGGCAAGGACCGACCCGGAGATGGAAGCTGCTCAGTATCCGGTTGTGCGGGCATAGTGATTGGTCCAGGGAGAGGGATGAGCTGAGGCATCACAGGGGGTGGCCCTCAGCTGAACCCCAGCTGCCACCAGTCTTGAGGACCTGTTGGTGTAAATGATAGAAGGGGCTTCTTCCTCCTTGCTTTATAAAAGGAGCTACAGCTAGATTTAGCTCCTACCCAGCTAGCCACAGACCAGGTACCCTGGGTAGCTCTCAGTGGTGGCCCTGGGCTGGTCCTCACAGGATACATCCCCCGAGACAAGGAAGTCCTCGGAAGAGGAAAGGAAGGTAGGAGTTGCATGACAGGTGCACCGTGTGGTTTATCACAGCGGTGGGCAGGGGCTGTTGGCTGGGGGCATCTCGTTGCAAACTGACCTGTTCCTAACGGGTTCCCCTTTTCCTTCTCCTCCAGCTCAGCACCTGGCCCAGCCCTGGACCCCTACTCACCCTGCAATAATAACTGTGAATGCCAAACCGACTCCTTCACTCCAGTGTGTGGGGCAGACGGCATCACCTACCTGTCTGCCTGCTTCGCTGGCTGCACCAGCACGGTAATGATGATTTTCTGAAGGACTGGGCTGGGGCAGGGTGCTCGGGCAGCTGAAGTAGCCTGAGCAGCTTCATGGAGTGGGCAACCATGGACGTCCCATGTGTTGTTCTCCTTCACTGTGAGGTCGTCTCAGCCCCTGCCATGTCGAGCGGAGGAGCCAACGCTGAGGACTGAGTGAGTCCTCAGGCCTTCTTGTGAAATCAAGTGGGTTTCTGAGAAACTTCATTGAGCAGCTGAAAGTAGGAATCCTGGGGAGGCTGGACATACAGAGCCAGAGAACAAGGTGGTGGTCGAGGTGCTCACAGTGAGCGTCAGTGGAGCAGGGTGGCTGCAGAAGTGATGGGTACCCCGTTGCCAGGAGCATGTAAAGGAAGGCAAGGGGTCCGCCGGGGGCATGGTGGTTAAGGTACCTGAACCCCACATGGCTGACAGAGTGGTTTGAGTCCCGGACCTGGTGGCTTGAAAAAAACACACTGAACACATGTGCTAGTGTGCCCAAAATTCCTGAGAGGAGAATGGAGGAGGAATTGTGGCATGGCTGTCTTCCTTGGCAGGTGGGGAGGGGCTGTCTTCCTTGGCATGTGGGGAGGGGGTGATTTCTCACTTTCTCTCTGTCTCTGTCTTCCCTCCAGCAAGTGCATGTGCCCTATAGTAAGAAAGAAAAGAAATGAAAAGAAAAAATTAAAAGGCAAAAGAAATTATTTATCAGGGATGACCCCTTCAAGGCCTGAGACTCTGACACTGATTCAGTCCCCTCTCTGCACAGTTTCCTTTGCCTTGTTTTTCCTAACTGGGTTGTGGGAAAAGTCATGATGTATTTTTCTAGGCAAAAAGGGTGTGGGCATCCTTTGGTCCTGTAAGAAGTGTCACTCTTTTGAGTTCCATCGCTTTCCATGTGTCTCCTAAGGTTCAGAGCATGTCATCAGGGTAAAGAATATGATGGTGAGCGCTCAGTAGATGCCTTCCATCTTTTCATACATCTCCTTCCAGTTGGACAACTCCTATCCTCCCATCAGTTCCCTACTCATTCATCCCCTCCCTCAGAAATCACTCCTTCCCTCTTTATTTTGGGGGTTCTTGCCTCTGAGGTCCGTTGATGCCCTCTCTCTCCTGAAAGAACTTCTCTCATTCAGTGATCTTCGGGAAGTGTCTGTGGCCTGCTCTGATCTTTGGGTTCCTTGAGCAAGGGTCAGCTTCTGGAGAGGCTTTGTAAATTTAGTCCACAGAATATATAGACAGGAAAATCCGAGACCCTGTGACTTCCTTCAAGGAACTTAACGTTGAAATCATTCATTTCCTCCCCTTCCCATATCCTGTATCTTTTGGGAAGAGTAATTACTCTGAGAGAGATGAAAAATGGATCATTTATTTTCATTTTCAAAGATTTCATTTTTCCTTGCTTTTAACATTTAGATTTCTGGCCAGTTATTAACATTTTCTATAGAGAAAATAAATCACCATGGGGGGTGGGGTGGGAGGAACTTATTTCTTAAATTAGATGATAAAGCAATTTCTTTATGGGAGTAGAAATAAATTTCAAAAAAGGGATGGAGCCTTGAGAATGGTTAAAATAAAAACACAGCTATTATTTTTCATGACAAAAATTTCATTAACATTTTAATATCCAAAAAGTCATATTATAAATCCGTCTCGGTTATCATCCCGTTATAAGAACTAAATTGACTCTGTAGCCTAGTGTCCTGAGACCAAACAAGTTTTTATTCCAGGGAAATGCACTGACCAAGAAATTACCTGAGAAATTGCATTTCCCCTGATCTTGCATGTACAAGAGTCTTAGTCCATGGTCGCCTCTGGTTGCTGAAACAGCCACGCTGTGGGATGCGATTATTGGATCGTAAGCATCCCTGCCTACTCGACACAGAAATATCCTGCTCATTCCCCAGATGCCCACCCGCTTCACTCGTGTGATCTGAGACCTTGCTTTGTCTGCTGGGATGTGGAGAAGGCAAAGGGTTTCCTATATAATTACAAGACAGAGACTGAGAAACCACAAGGCCTCAGAGCTGGGGTGGCCGTGTGTTGTGTGTGTGCATGTAGGGGGGATGGTATGAGGTTGACATCCATTCACCATAAAGGCAGATCCCTGCGTGCCCTGGCTCCCAAGATGGTGAGCAATTGGGTGAAACAGAGCCACACTTATCCAGGAAAAGGGGCTCTGTAACAGTGTAGCCTTAAAAACAATCCCAACCATTGGGCTGGCCTCATAGTTAATGGTTAAGAAAGCCAGATCCTGCATTATCAATCACAGTTCGAATCCTGGCCCTGGTTACTTGAAAAACAAGTTTGGTACTTGTGGGTGTATGCCCAAAATCCCAAGAGGGTGGAGAAATGGACAAGGAATTGAGCATGCCACATTAAGGAATCTTTGTCCCTGTCTGTCTCTGGTGATTGTGTCCTCTAACAAATGGAAAAAGAAAAAAGACAGAAATCACAAACCCCCCAACTGCAGGAACTTGAAACAACAGCAGCAAGCTTTGTGGAATCCTGTTCTGGGCCGGACTGGAGCCTGGCCCAGAGTCAAAGGAATCTCAAGCCAATATCTAAAAATGAGCAGAAAATAATTTAAATCTTTTCAGTCTCTACTGCAGTACTTTGAGAAAATGCCAAACAGTAGATTATGCTGCTGGTACATTTACTCCTCCCTCTTCCCCTCCTTTTCTGTACTCTTCCCTTCTTGTTTCCAAGTTTATTTGTTTGTTTTGTTTTGTTTTGTTAAAGGGTGCACATACTGAGCAGAGAGAGGGGGAGAGGAAAAAGCACACCCTGTGGGGAATGGTCACACCACAGTCCCTTCTCCTCCCTCTCTCCCCTTTTCAGCATTTTGGGCACACATGCACATACCCAGGGTGTTTTCCAAGCCTCCAGGTCCAGGATTCGAACCGTGTGGTCAACCATGTTGTATCTGGCTGCCCTAACTACCTGGCTCTTTCACCAGCTAGAGCCTTCTCCATCTCTCTTACCTTTTCCCTTTGATTCTCTTCCTGTCCCCTGGTCCCCCCACCTTTTCCTGTGTGACTCCAGCCATTCTGGTTTTAGCAGTTCTTCCCCTCAGGAGCTCCTGTGCTCCTTTGTTACACCTGTGCCCCTGTGATCTCTTAACCCCAACAACCTTGGGTAGTCGGTGTTCTTTTTATTGTCCAGATACAGAGGAGGTTAGCCTCTTGCCTAAGGTCACACAGTGGAAAGTGGAAAGCCGGTGTTGAAGCGTGAGGTCTATCTGACACCAAGCCTCATGGCTTCCTCGGCACTCAGCACCTCCCTCTGAAGGATCCCTATGTTTTTTCCACCCGAAAGAACCTTTTTGGACATGCCTTCTGCAATGGGGACCTTGAGCTTTCCCCATCTGGCCCTGGCTGCCTCTCCAGCCTCAGTCTCCCTACCCCTCCTACCACTTAACTACTTGCTAAGCTCTCCCCCAGCATCTCCTTTGCCCCTGGGCTTTGCACTTGCTGTTCTGTTTATCTGGAATAGTCTTTCTCCATCTAAGCCTTGTCTTAGTCATCAGGGCTCAGCCTCTCCTCTGCTGCTGGAAAGCCTTCTCCCACCTAATTGCTTCCCCCAGGACAGTTTCGCAGCCCACCATGTGGACTTCTGGGGCACCTATTCTTGCTGACTGAGGCCCCACCCTGTCTAGTCAATGGCTCCTTGTCTCCCTCACCCGCTCAGGGAAGCCTCGGCTCTGTGCAGAGGCCTCAGGCTCCCGAAACATCCAGCTGGAGTCCCCTGGCTGACCTCAGAGAGCCCTAGGGAGTCATGGGTAATAATACCACTCTCTGAAATAGCACTTGGCAGGCGAGAAGGTTGGACGGTGCCGATTTCAATACTAACGTATCCTCACTCATCTCTCACCACTTTAGAGCTCCATCAAGCCTTGTGAGAATGCTCTGTAATGCGATTAGCTGTGAGGAAGTCACCAATCAAACCATTCTGGTTACAGGGAAATCTGGTTAGCCTTTGCAGTTTCCTGATATTAGACATTTCTTCTTGCCCTAGTTGAGTTTTTTTTTTTTTAATTTTCTGATTTCATAGCTCCTTCAGTGATTGTAATGGACGTTTCCAGCACTGCATTTAATATACGATTTCTCATTCTTCTCATTGCTTATGACCAGGAAGGGTGACAAAAGGATCGTGAGATAATTTTGTAAGCTTCCTTGGGTGTGAATATGTTGTCCAGATTGTTTCTGTACCTTTCACTTTCAGAAATAATTATTCCAAGAGAAAGTATGTTAGTATGCTGCTGACTGAATGCCGAAAGTTGGGTCCTTTTGATGTACTGAATAATTGACTAAAAATAAAAGCTTCTATCAGGCACCAGGGCAATGTTGAAAGTCAATCCAAGCCCAGCATAGCAGTTTGTAGGGTACTAACGACAGGTAACTGATCTATCCCCCAATCCAGGCAACAAATATTTATTGAGCACCTATCTGAGCAAAGCACCAAGAAGGTTCTATGGAGGGGAAGCAGATGACCCCATTATGGATGCATGGGGGTGGGGGGACAGCAGGTGGTGTAGTGATTAAGACACTGGACTCCCACATGGCTGACTGCAGTTCAAGCTCTGGACCCAGCAGCTTGAAACTCACACTGGGTACATGTGCATGTGTGCCCAAAATCCTGAGAGGAGAAGGAATTGCAGTGTGGCCATCACCCCTAGGAGGGGTGATTTCTTGCTTTGTGTGTCTCTCTCTCTTGCCGGCAAATACACGTACCCTGTAGCAAAAAATCTTTTTTTTATTTTAAAAAAAAAAAAAGGATGCATGGTGGAAACTCAGCATTCAGTGTTCTGGGGGTCTCAGTGCTGGCAGCGCATTGGAATCGCTTGAGAGCTTTTGACATATGAGGACTGAACCCTATTCAGATTTCGGTTTATTTCGGGAGTTGTGGCAAGGCTGAGCCTTTGTGCATAAACAGGGGTGTAGAAATTTGAATCATGCGATTCAGACAGGCATTTGGTTTGGAAGTAGCAGAGAGAGAGAGAGA